AACGGGCTAACGTTAGCCACTGACGCTGCAAACGGGCTAACGTTAGCCACTTGTTTAAATGTTGAAAACTGGGAACGACCTCAGACTGGGTCATTGCTTCAAGTCTTAGTTTACTACCAAAGTCTTAACTAGTTGGTGAACTTGCCTCTTAAAGGTATAGTGGAGGATTTTTGAAAAAAAATGCACATGCATAACCCTGTACCCGCTCCTGAGAGGGATCGCTACGTGCAAGAGTGTGCATGAGCCCATTTCTCCTCGTGCATGAGCCCATTTCTCCTCGTGCACGAGCCCATTTCTCCTCGTGCACGAGCCCATTTCTCCTCGTGCACGAGCCCATTTCTCCTCGTGCATGAGCCCATTTCTCCTCGTGCACACTCTAGTTAAAAGTTGCTGTTTGCATCACTCATACAAGCTAACTTTCCAAAAGGAAGATTAGCAATTTCTCCACTATGTCAGACTCACCACTGGTAAGAGAAAATGGAGACGAGCACGAAGGACGGCCTTACGCAAAAATATCATCAGAATGATTGACAGCTAAGAGGACCACTGATTGAGATGATCCACCTGGAAAAACAACATCCTCCACTATACCTTTAAGTGGATGTTTTGCACACACCTTAAAGAGCTCCTAACCTGACGGCTTTGAGAAGCTCGTTACAGGAAGTCTTTACCAGCCTGATGTTTATTTTCACCAACTCATTTCCTACGGTATTGTTAGCTTCTCACCCAGTTCCTTCAAAAGCACATTATTGACTTCCTAACTAGTTCTTTTCCTGAGTTTTAACCAGTTTATCACCTGACATGTGAATTTCCTTCATGGTCTGACATTTTAACGAGCTTCTTGTCCAACAGATGTCTTGAATAGTTAATTGTGTGAAGTCGTAACAAACTCATTACTTGATGGTTTAACCTTATTTCCATAATGTCTTAGCTAGCTCCTTACCTCATGCATTTTAAACGGCTCAATACCTGACAATTTTCAGACGTTCGTAGCCTAACGTATTTACTATATTTTGCATGAATCGATTAATAATCTAATATATTTTTTATGAAATTAAACCAGGTGAAACTAAAACTTTTCCCCTTGAGTTCTGGATAGAGCATACCCGACAGGCAAGAATTGTTTTGATCTTAAATGCAAAATTTTCTTATTTTTATTTTTTTTTTTTACAATTTCTATATAATTCTTGCTCTAAGCAGGTCACCCTGTCAGCTAAAAACATATTTTACAGACTCTATTATCCATCTAATGATTAATCGTTTATTAAATTGGTTGACGATTATTCCAATAATTGATTTATCACAATGAATCTGATTAATTGTTTCAGCCCTAAATAAGATGTCTTAAGGGCGATTTGAACCGGTCGTGTTAATTTTGAGATTACTTGTTCATTTTTATCTTAATATGTCTTCACTGCGGGAAGAATTAGGATTTAGTTTATACTGCAGGAACCGCGTTAATTTAGCGATGATTTGTTTTAATTGCAGGACGACATCGTTTTCTTATTTCACCTTCCTTCTGCAATCTGACGGCTCTATGGGTGATCCGGTGTTTTATCATATCATTATGGATCTTGCATTGATTTTGCCTCTATTTTAGTCGTTGTTACGTCTCGTTTATCTTCGCTGCCGGACGCCCGTTGATTTTGTCGTCTTTGCGTGATGATGGTGATTCTATTTTTGAGTCTGTTGGTCCGGGGCCCTGCAGGTAAGGAAAGGTAAGTCTGCTGTTTATTACTCTTTTTGAAGCTGGTCCTGTTTCCTGTCCTGACTTTCTCTGTCTCCTCCCACTGTCCTGACTTTCCTCCATCTTTTCTTTCTTAGCCGATTCCAGTGGTTTCGCCAAAGGCCTTCCAGGAAAAGCTGCCCTCCAGCGCTGCTACTCCGGCTCCGCCCCCCGACCCGTTTGAATACTACGATGCTGGAAACCACTGGTGTAAAAGCTGTAACATCACCTCTGGTTCCATGTTTGACTTTTTCACTCACTTGCACGGCAAAGGGCACCGGAAGGTTTGTTTGTTAAGACAGTTTGACGCCAGCTTTCCCAGTTCAGCACTGCTTATTTGATCCCATGTTTGTTTGATACCATCATTGTCCATCTCACAGACTCTGAATCCGTACGACCGGCCCTGGGCCTCCAGCAACACCAACACCTCTAAGAGCAGCACAGGAGAGGTCAAGCAGACCAAACCGGCCAAAGGTACTGTTACCATGACGTTGCAACAATTACAGCCACCATAGATGCTGATGATGAGGATGTGGTCTCTGAACCACTGAATTTTGTTAGCTATCTTCTACTTCCAGGTGGAACTCAGAGCGGACCTTTGTGTTGGAGAAGAAGCTTCTGCTTACACCTTCTGATGACTTTTACTTTGTTTTTCCATCAGTTAATCCTCAGATAACTGCCCAGCATTTTCTCTATAATCACCCGGAAGAAAATATATTCTCTCTGACTCTCTCTTCTTCTGACAGGTTCTGATTAGCCTGGAGATGTCTGCCAGGTAAACAGGTTTGGCAGCTTTTTAGTCACCTTCCAGGGGTTTAAACCATGCCACATTTGTGTTTGGCTGCAGGTTCAGAGTTCCTGGTTCCGGTCAGAGGGTTCTTCTGCATGCTGTGTAAGGAGTTTTGTGGAGACGCCATCTGTGCAGAGCAGCATGTGATCACATACAGTCATAATGAGAAATACAAGGTATGTGTTAAAATAAGGCCTGATCTGTCCTCTGGTGTTCTGCCTGGATCCTTTGGCACCCAGTAGAACATTTATAGGCTATCAGAACCTTTATCACCTTTTAGAACATTTATCAGCTGTCTAGCCCCTCCCTCAACAATGAAAACTCAAGCTTGTTTAATGTCTCATTATTGTTACAAGAACAAGATTTGTCCAGTTAATGTTTTCATCATTGTTATAGTTGACTAAACCAGCGCTGGCTAGAGAGCTGCTGTTTAAACCCAGTCTGCAAGGTTACTGTTTAGAAAGTCTGGCCATCGCTTTGGATCCTCAAACAGGAAATTTTATCTCACAAGGTTCACACTCAGTGTGGCAGCACTGCCCCAACGGATAAGTCTTATATAGAGAAAGCATTTCGCCAGTGTGGAAAGAGATGTTTCCTTTCCTCTTACCTTCAACTGATTGCTTAAATAATTAAAACACATTCTTGTAAGACCCTAAATTCATGTGGATTTTTGTGTTTTTGTTGTTTCCTTCGCCAGGAACAAATGATGGAGAATCCCCTGTATGAACAGAGGAGGAACCTGGACAGACAGGCAGGCCTGGGTCTGGAGGCGGCTGGAAAGAAACGCAAACATGATGTTGATGATAGAGGCAGCAAAGACGGAGAGGAAAATACTAAAACCAAAAAGGATAAAAAGGACAAAAAGAATGAAGGAGAGGCTGCTGAAAAGTGTGATGTAAAGATTAAAGTGAAAAAAGAGGAAGGGGAGCATAGTGAGAAGCCGAGCAAAAAGAGCCTGGAGGAAGACAAGCCTTTTTCTAGCAAAAAAGATGAGAATGAAAGCTATAAATATAGCAAAAAGGATGAGAAGTACCGCCACAGCCGCGAGGTGGAGGACAGAAACAGCCGGTACAGAAGCGGCGGTCGAGATGAAGAGTATCGCTATCATTATTGCAGGGAGGATGAAAAACGATACGACGATCGTACAAATTCCGGCACTAAAGACGTTGGGGACAAATTCAAGCATGATAAATTTTCTGATACCAGATCTAAATATGACCGAGAGCGAGATGAAGGAAAGTCTAAAGCTGAAAGGGAATCTCCCAAATCCCTCGGGAAACCAAATGTCAGAAAGTCTGAACCACAATCAAAACCCCATGAGCTGCCCAAAATCTTCTGTGGACCCAGTCCTGCCATGAGGGCAAAGCTCCGCAAGCAGGCTTTGGAAGCAGGCAAAGTTCAGCCCGCCACAGGCACAGGCCCTTCAATTGGGAAGTTCACATGGACGAAGAAAGAGAGCCAGCTTGCGAAGGAAGCTCGGCAAGTTGCAGCAGAGTTCATCAAGGATGAGGAAATGGCTGCAAAGGAGCAGCAAGGTGAAGATGAAGATTCTCTATCAAAGTCGATAGCTATTGCAAAAGAGATTGCTGAGAAGCTGGCAGGTGAGCCACTAAAGCACCCACCTTTCTACCAGCCTGGTCAAGGACAAATCCGGCCAAACCTTCGTGCACCTGTTGCACAGCAAAGGAAAGCTGCCTTGGCAGGAAAACCTGCGTCACTTAATACATTCCTAAACATGAGACCCCAGGGCTCAGATGGAAGTTCTCCAGGGTCTATTCCTAGGGCCCCATTAGGGCCACCAAATACACAGATGGTCCAAAGCATACCTGGACCTCCTGTCAACATATCCGGACCATGTGACCCAATACCTACACCAGTAGTGACAAAACCAGAGCCATTTGGCCCTAAACTCCCTCCTTCAGTGTCAAAACCGGAACCATGTCAAGATACTTCAGCAGGTTCTAAATCTGATTTAGCTGACCCAAGACCTGCACCTTCTAAAGCTAAACAAGTATTTCTCAAACCTTCTCCGCTACAGTCGCCACCTACTCCAGTTCCGAGTAAACCTTCAACAATTTTTCCTTTCCCATTAAGGAAAGAATCATCAGAAACTAAAGCTCTTCCATCAGAAGTTAAAGCTTCAGTTTCTCAGGCTCCTAAACTACCACTCACTTCACCAAAAGCCGCACCTTCACAACCACCAACGATGATCGTGTCTGACGTGGCAGCTCCTGGTGTCCCAGAAAGTGAACAGACTTGCACTGTGTTTGTCAAGCCGCCTCCTTTCAAGAAGCTGCCAGAGGTATCTCGGAAGTCAGAAAAATTCAAGAACAACCTTGCTGCTGCCAGGGCAGAGGACTTAATTGATATGTTTTATCGTAGCATTGGTGAGCCAGGCCCTTCCTCTTTTTCCAAGTCAGAAACTGACATCAAAGCTGGTAGAAGCTCTTCTTCAGCCCCTCAAAATAAGAACCAACAACAGCCACAAAATAAGCCCCAGCCTCAGATTGAATCACCAAATAAAGCCCAAACTCAGTCCCAAAACCAGCTACAGCTCCAAGGGCAGCTTGGATCGAAACTACAGACAGAACAAATTCCATGCGATAAAACTGAAGCTCAATCCCAAACCCAACTGCAATCCCAAGGTAAAACCCAACCCTTGACCCCATTGGAACCAAAAATTCAACCGCAGACACACTCGCTACCCCAAGATACTCCCGAATCTCAACCCACAAAGCAACAACTTCAGACTGATAATAAACCACAAATTCAGCTGCAAGCCCAAGATAAATCAGAACTCAAACCCCAGGATAAAACTCAATCACAAACCCAGTTGCAAATCCAAGGGACAGAACTGCAACCCCAAGATAAGCCTGAATTCCAAACCCAGAGACAACTACAAAAGCTGAATAAACCAGACTCTCACATCCCCACACAGCTACAACCCCAAGATAAACCCGACTCCCAAAGCCAGAAACAACAACAAACACCGGAAAAACCAGACTCTGACATCCCCACACAGCTACAACCCCAAAATAAACCCGACTCCCAAAGCCAGAAAAAAACACAAACCCTGGATAAACCCGACTCCCAATCCCAGAACCGACAGCAAACCCTGGAAAATCCAGTCTCTGACATTCCAACACTGCTACAACCCCAAAATAAACCCGACTCCCAAAGCCAGAAAAAAACACAAACCCTGGATAAACCCGACTCCCAATCCCAGAACCGACAGCAAACCCTGGAAAAACCAGTCTCTGACATCCCAACACTGCTACAACCCCAAGATAAACCCGACTCCCAAAGCCAGAAACAACAACAAACACCGGAAAAACCAGACTCTCACATCCCCACACAGCTACAACCCCAAGATAAACCCAATTCCCAACCCCTGAAACTGCTACAAGCTAAGGATAAAACTAAAGTCCAGCAGCAGCCACACCAGGAAAATCCCCAAATTGCAAATGAACCCTCAGATAAACATCTGGACCAATCAACACATCAAACAGAGCTCCAAAAGCAGTCTCGATCTGTCCCTGACGCTCAACCTATATTTACAATCCCACCACAGACCGAGTCCCATCAAAGCTTACAAAGCCCACCAAACCAAACTGATGCTGACATTCAGATCACATCCGTTTGGTCTCTTCAATCTCCCTCAGTTCTATCAGCCAAGGCTGATTGTCCTGATGCATCCTTTCCCATGTTTCAATTCGAGCAGACTACCGAGGTATTGTCTCAAAGAGAGTCCACTGATTCTGGGCCTGAATCACTAATCCCCCCACAGACTAGTCCTTCCACAATGGAACCAATTGTTCAAGCCTTGTCCAAACCAACTCCTCATATCAACGAGGTGCCTCAGTCCGAACCCCATGCAGACCTGGATGGAAATTCACATCAAGAGAAGACTCCACAACCCCAGCCTAAACCCAAACCTGGTCCAAGAACCAGAGGCAAGGGAGCACAAATGAAGAAGACCCCTCCTGCCAATGCACCTGTTCGTCAGACTCGCTCCCAAACAAGATACCAGACCCGCCAGCAGCAGCAGCAAAGTGATTCAGAACCCAAACAGGAACCAGCTGCAGTGGACCAAGGAATGTTGGATTTAGACGCTGAAGGTCTGGCATGTTTTGATCCACAGCAGGAGGCCGACACGGTCAAAGAGACTGATCCTATAGAGACACGGGTCACCCCAGAATCGCTGGGTCTCCCTTCAGATATGACGTCCCTTGACTTTGACTACACTTTTAACTTTGAATAAGTGTTAGGGCGGTTTGGTAGCGACACAAAGATCTGGGTCTGGTTTATGTACAGGATAAACTGTTGATAAGTTTATTTAGGGGGTACTGAACCCCTGTGCTGTTTTAAAGACCAGAATAATGTAAATAATTCATTGCCTTTTTGAAGGACGGTGGGTTTAAAGGCACGTCATTATTGTCCCCCAAAAAGCCCTCGCTGATACCTGCTACCATTTTGGATCCTACTTGTCTGACTCATTGGAGATCTAAAAGCTCTAGATCTATTTATGACTCCTGTTTTCCACCAAGAGCAAATGTTTATTTCCTACAGGTCTTTATTCTGCTCGCTGTAGCTTCCTGCTCTGTGGACTTAAATGATTTTCATTGTTGGATCTTTAAACCAAGACCAGCGGCTCCTCTGTTTGTGCTTGTAACATATTTTAGCTGTAATGTTTGTTTCTTTCTGCAGAGTTTTAATAAAGGTTGGCAGAGAATTTTCTGAAGGGTTTCTTGTCTTTTTTTGAACCAGTAAAATGGAAATTCTTAAAGCAGCTGAGGCAACAGGATGGTCCATATGTAAAGATCACTGCCTGAACTGAAGCAGCTCCGGTATCTTGGTGAAAAGGTGGAGAAGAAGAATAAAGTCTTGATATGTTCTATGTAGTGAACCCCCAGAGGCTTCCCTATATGTTTTGCTAGGAGATCTCCGATTGAGATCCAGGTTTATCTGGAGGGACTTTGGGAAAAGCCCTTCTAATATCCCCAAGTGAGCCTGGAGAAGGATTTTCCCACTGCGACCATCAGGGGCATGAAGGGCTGATGTTGCTTAAAGCTCGAACATCCTGCACAGACAAAAAGCCGCCCCTCACCGCGTCTGCAGTATTTATATTCTGCAGCTTTCATCAGTCTGGTTGGCTCCGGGTCAAGGGGGGACACAGGCAGCCAGGTGACAACACCACACCACACTACACGAGGAAGAAGAAAACAGCCATTTACAACTTTGTCAAAGCCTCTTCATGCAGTTTGGGAGAGACAGTCATTTCTTTCCTGGACTTTTTCCACAGTCTGTTAATAATAGTGATATTTATGAGCTAATTCATAGGATATCTTTAGACGTTTACATCCTGAAACCTTTACAGCTGGAGCTGCTTCTGGCTCGCAACGTTTTCCGTACAAATCTGCCCACGTAGTTACAAATCTGCCCGGAGGGGCATGGAAGCCCAAAAGGACGTAATTTGGCCGCCAAGATGTGTAAAACCAAGCTTTGGAAGATGGATGGCTGTAGAAGTAGGTGTGTTCAGTTTGCTGCTGGATTGATAAGAGCAGCTCTGTGGTGCGGTGGAAGGTTCTACACCAAACGCTGACTGATTACATAGAGCACTTTTATGCTCTTATTAAACAGCCTTTTCAAGTTTCAGAAGCTGTCCACCTGTTGCTCTGCCTGCTGAAGTTCTCTGATAATCTAGATCTAGGCCGAACCACAAGCTACAATTGAATCACAACATCTCTTTCATGTTGACTTTGAAGTCCAAGGCTGTTGAAATGATGGATTGTTTCATTTTCTGACCTCTGGGTTAATATTAATTAATTTTGATTTGTGTGACACTGGCGTCGGATGCTGGAGTTTGCCCTGCAACGGTGGGGTTTTCTGTTCAAGGTGGCTCTGGCTTTCAGCGTTGCGTACGGCAACCTCGCTTCTGACACTGAGACCCAGGGCAGCTGTGGCCACATTGTAGATCACCACCATCAGTGTGTGTAGGAACGTAATGTAAAGCGCTTTGGTCAAGTCTCCTGACTTGACCAAAAACCCTTTGCCTTTAAGGGCCAAACACGGGATGACCCCTTCTAAATCCCAGATCAAAGAGGTTTCTAGAATTTCCTTCTTTGATCTGAGGAATATTGCAAAAATGAGCAATCTCCTGAGGTGTGGTCATCTAGCAGAGCTGCCCTCTGGTACCTTTATGGACTGGGTTTCTAGGACCAGAGGGGGTCTGGTTTGGGGACCAGCAGATCTCAGTCCTGCTTTTTGCTGATAATGTTTGCTGTGGTTCCGATAGGATGAGGAGCTGAGTCATCAGGGAGAGGATCAGAGTAGAGCTGCTTCTCCTCCAGAGGAGTCAGCTGAGGAGGAGCAGGACACCATAGAGGGACCATGTCTCTCTGCTGGCCTGAAGTGCTTCAGCTTTATGGGGAGAGGGAGGTCTGGCTGCTCCTGCCACCTGGTTCTGGATACAGAGGAAGACCACGAGAACACGGTGTGTGTGGATAGATTAGTGATGCTTAACGGATGTTTAACTGAAATATTTTTCTGCTATCATGTTTTCAAATCTATGAAAAATATATATATACAGTAATATATATTATGAGATGATTAGTTGCTTATGTTAACTTATGGAGGAGTGAATGTAATAAAGTCTAAAACCTTCTTCTTCACTGGCCCTAATTTTAGTGAATAGAGCAAATCATGCTTAAAGAAAAAATATAAGCTCTATTTTCCCATATAAAAAGGTTTTATATTCTCATCAACTTATTTCACTGATTCTCTGTTATATGTTGACGCAGGGGAGGATTTACCATCAGGCAATACTAGGCAGCTACTTAGGGCCCCAAGTTCCTGGGGGCCCCATAAAACCCTGTTTCCATGTCTGGTTAATACAACTACTACTTATTTCTGCACATTAATTATGTTTTTGATAAAAATCCTTTTGGCTAAAATGCCATCAGAACGCTGATAATATTAAGTGTGTCTCAGCCCCTCCCCTTCAGTGTCCACCATATTGGATCAGTCCATTTGCTGCACATGTTCAGAAAGGTCCAAACAGACAGCAGCAAACCATTTGAAAACAAACCATGCAAAGAGCAGTGTTGCCAACTTAGCGCTTTAGTCGCTATATTTAGCCACTTTTCAGACCCCTCTAGCACTTTGATTTCTAAAAAGCTCCTAGCGCCAAATCTAGAGACTTTTTTCTGCTACTGGAGACTTTGGAGACAACATCTAAAAGCAGCGAACTCTGCTCTCCAGAGCGAGTAGATTGGTAACCCCGCCTCCTGCTCTCCTCTATCTTGTCTGCTGTCATGATTCATGCAGCTATTATTTCATCCAAATAAAAAATGGAGAACAGATAAGCAGATCATGGCTTGTCTACAGTGAAAAGAAGGACTGGGTTATTTACTTTGGCCTTTTTGGAAACACAGGAAGGAGCAATCAGCTAAGTGAGCTTAGTGCTTGGAAAAAATCTTTCATTCCTTTAGAGACAGCATGAAAAGTCAGCTGAGTACAAAACATAGAGAGGAAAACAAGAAGAAAAGGGACAAGAAGAGAGGGACACAACCTAGAACAGATAATGGATGTCTATTCTATTAACATTTATCTATCTGGAGAATGAGTCTGTTTTATGTGTTGTCTTCTCAGAGGGGCCCATGCCTGTCTTTGCCTGGGGCCCCAGATTTCCTAAATCAGCCCCTGTGTTGACGATCAGGTAAAAAAAACAACCATAAAATTCAATATTTAGATTTGACGTATGAGCAGAAGATGCTCATAAATCTCCCTGCATCCAGGCTGCTTTCATTATATTTACTGATCAAACAGTAAAGCTGATTGAACTGATTTAGATCTATGAGGTCAGTCCACTTTATCTCATTATGTAATATGGTTTTATATTTCATCTCTCCTTTTTACAACTTTTAAATTAACTTCCTTTATTGTTGCTTTTTAAACATGTCTTTATATTTTATTATTTAGCATTAAATGATGTGTTGGAACATAAACATCTGTTTCCTGCAGATAATCTTTGTTGGATCATTTTATCTATATTCTGTTCAGACTGTTCTGTGGTTCGGAGCCACCAGAACCAGACCATAAACCCTGTGGTTCTGGTTCGGTTTCCTCCGTGTTGCTGGGGAAGAGCCCAGACCTGCATCACCTCCCTACAGCCTCGCCCTCCATGTTAAACTCGCTCTAATCCAATGGGAAAAATCCCTGCAGGCGTTGCTAGGTAGACTTCCGCACCGGCAGCCAATGAGATCGGCCGTGTTGAGGAGCGAGCGCAGGAGCTGGAACTGACCGAGTGACAGCATCTGATTCCCGGGGAGGAGGAACTCTGAGTCTCCGTGGGAAAATCAGCGGACAGGATGCCGAACAAACCCAAGAAGGAGAAGGTGAGCGTGGGGCGGCGGGGGTGTAACGCGGAGCCTGTCCACGCAGAACACGCAGAAGCGTTGAGGACAGTTCTGATGCTAAACGCTAAAGGCCCGTTAGCATCACATCGCCCTGAAGTTAGCTTCTGATTGAATGAGGATAAAAACTGAGGATTTAAAACAAATTAAACATTTATAAAATCTTTATAATGATCTTAGAGAAATAATTATTCCATCAATTTAACATTTTTTATTCTTCATCAGCATTAGGAGGGGCTATACAGTAAAGTTTCCATAAATAATCAAACAGTGTTTCTTTGGTTTTAAGCTGTAATTTTTCGCGCTTCTTTGGACTTTAAGAAAGATTCTGTTTAATGAAGGTCTGTTGATTATTTTAACTTTAAAAAAGATAAAATAAGGAAATAAAACAGCAAACAGCGACAGTTTTGGCTGCTTTACAGCCCCGAGAATCAGAAGCTAACATCAGCAGAGTTAACGGTCTCTACAGACCAGCAGAACCAGCAGGAACCGCTCAGCCCAGTTCTGTAGGTTCACTGGGATCCGGCCTGGAACCAGAGTGGACCTGCTGGTTCTGACGGGTCCACAACTCCTGCTCCATCAGCTGCTTTTCTGACAGGCTGGTTCTGAGTGATGATGGGAGGCAGAGCAGCAGTGACGTCAGCAGGATGTTCTCCTGCAGTGGGTCGGTCCTTCCAGGAGCCTCACTGCTGCTTCTGGGGAGAAAGGTTGTTCCTGTGGGTCGAACTGGACCGCTCCGCAGGAGGTCCAAACCTGACCGGTTCTGATGTTAGGAGAACATCAGGCTTCTCCACTGAGCAGAGAAGCTTCTGGATGAAGGTCCTACCCAGAGGCTCCATGAGGTTCTTCAGCTGGAGATGGATGATGGTTCCTGAATCACGTGACGGATCAGAGCTCTGATTCTGTCACAGTGGAACCGCTTCATCTGCTCTTATTTTGAAAAGTTGTTCCACAGGAAGTGGAGCTACTGCAGCCTAAAATAAAGGGAATCATGAGGAGGACTGATGTCTGATAACATCTGAGATGTTGCAGTTCTGGTTCTGATCCAGATTCCTTTCAAACAGACTAAAGGCGTCATTTTGATTCTGGTTCTTTTGTAGGAATCCAGCAAATCTTCCAAAAGCAGCACGAAGAACAGCAGCGGCAGCGGGAAGGATGCTGCTCCAGAGAGCTCCGAGGAGGTAGGTACCACCAGAACACCACCGGTTCTGATCCGAAGTCCACAGGTTCTGATCAGTTCTTCAGCCTGAAATTAGTGGGTTTTTCAAACCCGGGTCGATCCGCTAGCAGTTGCCATTTGGATTACGCTGATGATGAGGTCTGCTCCTTAATCTCAATGGTAGCGAGGAAGGTCTGATCTCCATTTCAGCTGAGTTATAGTTGTCATGGTTACCTGATTTGTTTAGACGTCAAGGAGAGAACTAAAGACCTGGAACCAGACCTGGTCAGGAACTGATGTAGAACTAGAACCACTGCTGGTTGTAGTTCTACATGTTCATGCATGCCTGCTCCACATGTTCCTACATAGATGTTCCAGATGTTAGTTCAGATGTTCCCTCATGCTTGTTCCTGACGTCGGTTCATAGCTAGAAGTTCTGCTGAAGCGAATTCTGCTGCCCCACCAGGTTCCTGAGAACACGCATCATTTCTGGAGTTTCTCACTATCCGGTCCGTGTCTGCAGGTCCAGCAGCAGAGCGGCAGCAAGCGGCCCAGCAACAGCACACCTCCCCCCACCCAGCTCAACAAGATCAAGTACTCTGGAGGTCCTCAGCTGGTGAAGAAGGAGCGCCGCCAGAGCTCATCACGCTTCAGCCTGACCAGGAACAGAGAGCTGCAAAAACTACCTGCTCTCAAAGGTGATTAAACCCTTTAGAACCTAAACCTGAGCTAAACAGAACCCTCAGAACCTAAACCCGAGGTAAACTGACCCTGCAGAACCTAAACCTGAGCTAAACTCACCCTGCAGAACCTAAACCTGAGCTAAACAGAACCCTCAGAACCTAAACCCGAGGTAAACTGACCCTGCAGAACCTAAACCTGAGCTAAACTCACCCTGCGGAACCTAAACCCGAGCTAAACTGACCCTTTAGAACCTAAACCCGAGCTAAACTGACCCTGCGGAACCTAAACCTGAGCTAAACTGACCCCTCAGAACCTAAACCCGAGGTAAACTGACCCTGCAGAACCTAAACCCGAGCTAAGCTGACCCTGCAGAACCTAAACCCGAGCCAACCTGACCCTGCAGAACCTAAACCTGAGCTAAACTGACCCTGCAGAACCTAAACCCGAGCTAAACTGACCCCTCAGAACCTAAACCCGAGCTAAACTGACCCTGCGGAACCTAAACCTGAGCTAAACTGACCCTGCAGAACCTAAACCCGAGCTAAA